TTTTTGTGTGTTACAGAACGAGATGTTATTAAATTAATCAATGTGCTTTACATTTTAATACAATTTTGCTATTATAAAACGGACTTCAGAGCACCCAAGCGCGGAGTTGCATGCGCAGAAACGTGTTTACGTATTGTGCATATGATATAAACCCCCGTGAACTGAGCGGTGTGTCAACACGTCGCCGACTTTAACTGCGAAGGCCGCTCACGCCTACCTCTTAGAGCGTGGTTGCCACATGTATTGTTTAATTTTCACAAAGTGTCGTTTCAAGTCGCCCAACCATTTCAAGTCACCCGACTTGACGGTACTGACTTTTTGCGTTGAAGTAAAATTCCAGCAATATTTAACTTCATTTAATCTTGGAAAAACATAAAAAAACTTGTACATCACAACACTAAACTATATTTAAAAACTTAGTAAAGCACTGTCTTAGAAAACTAATTAATATTATAAAACGGGAGTAGAAAAATATTTTTTTAATACAATTATGATCTCTTAATTTTCAAACAAATTATTTTATTTAAAAAAATTATATATATTTCTTCATCTTTCGTCACTGAGTATTAGATATTTTGCAAAGGAAAAGATAGAAAACCACATTTTAATTCATATATTTAAAACTAGTAATTGTCTCATAACTCATAATTATTTACCATAAAATGAAAGAATTAATTTTTACTACTATTTCATCGTACGTTACTGGTAATAGAAACAGTAGCGTGACTAAATTTGCAAATAAAATTACACCATTGTAAACTCGTATTAGGTATATAAATAAGCGGTCATTATTGAAATTTTAATAGTGTACGTACATATTAGTTCGTTACACGAGAATTATAAATTGCGTTTTCAGTAGCACGATCACATTTTTGCATTAAAGGTTTGACCCCATAAAAATGGGTACCACCCTTTTGTTAGTTCAGGTTGAATGTGCAATTATTGGGTAGGCATAACGTTTATATGTTTCTCTATCGATTTCATATTTTTTTTTTTTTTAGGAAAATATTTATTTGTCTTCGATTTGAAGAATTTTATCCCAGCCTACTCAAACCTTGATTTTTGAAGTGGATATAATTTAATTAATTGACACATTCAAAGTACATAAACGGTAAGTTAATAACCTTCACATGTAATTCTATGAATTTCATACTCTTTCTTTCAGGAAAATAATTATTTTTCCGTGATTTAAGAAATCTTAACCCAACTTATTTAAATGTAACTTTTTAAATGAATTTTAAAGCAGTAGCACATTTCCTAGAGGCCAAGTGATTTGCCACGACATGGTTCCCTTATTGTATTGTGCCCATTACAATATTTGTGCTACTGAAAAGGCCCTAAAGGAGCAAAATGCTGTTGATCCATCATGGGTTGCTATTTATACTCTTTTTTCTTCAACCATAATCCATACAGAGGCTGAATGGGATTCTAATTTAAATATATTACATACATTTTTTTGTACAAATTAATATTGGCTGTTTTTGATACTTTTTTATAGGGCCAAGTGGATATTAGCTTATCTATGCACAGACTACAAAACGAAAAGTATGCTAATGCCATTAACTGAACGAATATATTTTATATCCATTTTATGTAGTGAGAATACTACAAAATAAAGAAATCCACCAATCACAGTTTAAATTTTGGTCACCAGACGACTATTATTTTATAAATTTTAAATAAGTGACAATTCTGTCAAACTAATAGTCAATACATTTTTTAGTTGAACTTAATTATACATTAAAATGACTTAATTTTGTACAGAATCGATATACAATAGAATCATATCCAATGTTGTTGCACAACTACTATTTTTTTATCACTGAAAAAGCACAGTCAAATAGTTAAATTTAATAGAAACTAAATTATTATTTATTACTACACAAATATTTGATAATTTATATTATATTATTACATTATATAATAAAAGTACTTTAAGTTTTATTTATTTATTTTTTATTTATCTTGCAGAACAAAGAGTAAACTTTGGAATATTTAATATATGTCGTATAATAAAAATGCAGACGCATAGTTCTTATCATTTCTTCTGACCTCTCTACTTCCATTTTTAATAGACAGTTTTCAGCTTTGATCATAACAGAATCTACAAAAAATAACACGCTACTAAAAAGTAGAAAATAATTTTTAATAAATTTAAATTAAGATTAGTGTGATTAACAAAAAAAAATTATTTTATTTTAGAAACGCGTGGGGTGTTTTTTTAGATATTTCCATAATGACTTTACTTATACGAATATCTGTCATTAAAATATTATAGTCGTAAACCACTAAGAAGGTCAAAACATATCCATATATCGCTGAAATCCATCTTAATATTATAATATTAGACGATTTCAACGATATTCCCTTTTAAACAACCTCTGTAATATCGGCGGAATCAGTTAATAATATTTCTAAAAAAGTTATTACAGGGATAACTGATTAACAGCATCTAAAGCGAACTTGAGCTGGGTTTTTATTGGAACTAATCATAATAATGAGTATATGGATGAATAGAAGATCGAAAGAGATGGTAGAAAATGCACCCCCTCCCCTTGACCCATATCATTGAATAAAATTTGATAAAAAGTTACCACAGGGACAACATACGGTGTAGGATATGGAAAATCGCTAATCCTGAAGGTCCTGATCAGGATAATGGGACAAACTGTTTAAATTATTGCATTGTCTTTGGTCCTTGATAAGTGTGCAAAGTTTCCAATCAATCCGATGTTTTCAAAGATTCAGTTACATAAATACATACATACCAAGCTAATGAAAGCGTATTAAAAAAATTTTTTTCTTCAAGTGGATCAAAATATGCTATTGATTCCATATGCACAAAAATAAAGTTAACATTCTACTTCCTAGTAACTATTTTACGATTATCTCGTTTAAAACATTTTACTTCATCTACTGTATAGGGAAAGTATTACAATTTTTGAACAAACATGGGTAAATATTAGTCCTATTATAGAGCAAAATGGATTGTTCTATATGTAAAATGTTTTTTTCATCTGAAAAATGTCGATTTTGTGGCTTACGAGGGCATGCCTCGTGGCCCTCGAGGGCATGCCTCGTGGCCCTCGATATATGACTCACCTGCTTCTTTTCTGGATGGACCAGACACGTAGATATCTGTTTTTCCTGGGGGGGGGTAACGATCCACAAGATAGAATCATGATATTACTTAAAGTAAAAATTAAAATGCTGTTATGAATCTGTATCACTGTATTTGGTTATATAAAAATCATAAAAAAAATAAAAAGATTCTTAGAACATTGCGATAATAAAAAAATAATAACAAAATTATCACAAAATCAAAACTAACTAAAAACATACAATCTGTTATGGAAGTAAAATAACTTTTTATATTACAAAAAATAAAATAAACTTAAAAGTGTTAACATACATACGTCAATATTATTTGGCGGAAAATAAACTAGACAGCTAGATTTAAATTTCTATTTTTTTTATGGCTAAACCTATTGAGCACACTGTCGATATTCAATTGAATATCCCTATGGATGTGCATTAGCGCTAAGCCTACAAGTCTTTCTTGTCCCATAGAAGCTCTTAGCCAAGTCTTTAACCTATGCAAAGTTGAAAAACTTCTTTCTAACAAAGCAACGCTAACTGGCATTACACTTACTATATGTAATGCAAGGTAAATTTGAGTATATATATATATATATATATATATATATATATATATATATATCTTTATTGTACGCCAATAATGAATTTAATGCGGTGTCAGGTAAGCTTTCCTGGCAACTATTTTTCCACTTGGCAACCCACAAATCTACCTCCGAATCTAGAGTGGTCAATATAAAATCACTGCTTTGTGTTGAAATCTTTTCCAAAAATTTTGATAAATTAAGTATAACTGATTTTATTCTGGCCTCGTCAAGATTAAATAATATCTATGGAATGAAATTATTTATTTCTAAAGCAGAGAAAATTTTTGAGTAAAATCGAAATTTTAAGTCTTGAATTATATTATCCAAGAGCGGTATAAAAATACTAATTCTAAAAAATCTTTGGGATTTTCAGTCTGAATATTACTGCGATGGTTCTGCCTTAAGGGTATTCTAGGAATCATTATAGGAACAAACAATTTTTCATGTATTTCGACAACTTCCGCAAAAATTGTATCAAAACAAGTATCAACATTTTCACGTTTTTTAGTTAAAACCGAAATTATATCGTTAACTAGTGATTCTGCCAAACTCTTGTCTATGGATTTTTTTTATAAAATTTTGCTTAAATTTGTGGTGAGACTTAAAACATGTCATAAACAATATAATGATGTTATGAATTTTGTTGTGAGTAGGCTACGCGTTAAGGTTTCAGCTTTCGACGAAGACTCATTGTCTTTCCATAGAGCAACTAACCCAAGAGCATTAAGAATATTAGTGGAAGAATTTTTAAATAACAAAATCGACTGGTGTCCTTCAGTCCACCTTGTTTCACATAAACTTATTAGTTTTGCATCATTAACAAATTTTAGTACCTTACTTCTTTTGGCGAAGCTTTGAAAAAGTTTATTGTTTCTTTGATGGTTCCTACTGCGTTACGAATATCCTGAACATCGCTGCATTTTGATATTGACAAATTTAAAGAATTGCTGTAGCAGGGACATTTAATGGCATTATTTAGTGTTTTTTGCATTTCCGAAACTGCTCCCTTTTGGTCGGAAAGCATGACACAACATGTATCAGTTCCAATACCTACACAATTTTTAAAATTTAAACCAAGTTTCCCTATAAAAGAAATAACAGTTTGCCCTAGAATTTCCCCTGTAAGAACTGGTTCATGCGTAAAATCGTCATAGTTTTCCTTATGGCAGTCTAGAAACCGTACGAAGTCCTCACGGATATTACCATTATCCAAATATCGAATTATTATAGACATTTGTGAAACATTGCTAATGTCTGTTGTTTCGTCAAATATGATACTATAGAATCGACCAGCATTTATTTTTTCGATAAGGCAACTTAAAATTTCCTCACCACAACATTTTGAATAGATGGACTCATATATTTAGTGCGTACTGTAGCTAATTCAAAGTGCATTTTAAGAACTGAATCGTCACCACAAGTCTCTATTCTGTGTCTTATAAATTCTCTGAGATTACCTTCGTTGACCTCTGACGATACGGGCAATTCACTCTCAGTCTTCCACCCTCTCAGGGCTATATTTTGTTTGCCGCAAAATATTATTGATCTTATAATTGCTTTGAGCCTTTTTCTATTTTCATTTACTTCTTGGAACCACTTAGCATCAAGAATATTACTTATTTCATGTTTAGGATTTTCATAAATATGAATAAATGAATTTCCAGCCATCACTGCTTCTTTATGGTATTTTGAAGAATCATGTGTCATTAGATCACCGTCTTTTCCAAATAATTTGGAATATTTATGTAACAGTGTAATCACTAATTTATTAAGGGTATTTGATTTATTGACCCCACCATATTTTGCAAATAATACGCAGAACCTACAAAATAAGCCACCTGAACTCCTAGAATACGTGAGCCAATTAAAGGAAATAAAGTGGTTTGAAGACAGATAGCATTTTACATCTTTGTCTTTTTTTCGATGTACAGAGTACGGAAAAATGAAATGTTTGTCAGGAACAAAAGCATTTTTCAAAATAATATACCGCTCCAAATCATTAATGATGTTTTGTTTCACATAACCTGCAATGTCTATTTCGTCTGAATATTGAGCGCTACCAGTAAGTTTAGGATATTTCGTTTCCTCTATTTTGCTAGTGGACGGTTCATGGGTAGTGAATGATGATTCATTAACTGCTAATAATTGTGTCGAATCCTGAGTATCATTATTTTTTTTTTTTTTTGACAAAAAAATCTAAGGATGCTTGTCTCTTGCTCATTTTTATTCTAAAAAATACCTACAATTATAAATAATATTTATTTTATGAAGAATGTTTACCTGGTATTTATATTAACACAATTAAAACAATGGATTTATTCAAATACTTTACGCCGACCTAATATCATCTACGCTTGTACATTCATACTGTACTATTATCTTGCTCACTCACTAAACTGAACTGACTAAGTCGAAAACGAAAACTCGAATTTTGGCTCTGGCCAGAGACAACCCAGCGCGCTCTGGCTCGTTCGCTGTCAGGGGTAGTATTCTCGAATCACGAATACCGACATTCGCATACGTGTTTTACAATGTGTCTCACTTTGTTGAACGAAAACCAAGTGAGACAAATCATAAATCTCGCATGCGAATCTATGTTCGTGACTCGAGAATACTACCCCTGGAAGTAAAATAAAGTGTAGTGGTGAGTGGGGTATGTTTTTTACAATACTCATTACATTAATCCTCTATTATATGGCATTACAGTCAAAAATTAATTCAGTTTTTGTCGACACAGCCTATTTTATGAGTACTACGTGGAAAATTATTATTTTTCATATTGAGCTCTGGGGGGGGGGGGTAATTACACCCATTACCCCACCCCCTATCTACGTGCCTGGGATGGACCAGAAATTGATTTATCTTGTGAATATTAAATTACTTGTACTCTTAAAATCAGAAATAAGCTTAAGTTTCTCAAATCGCTGAAATAAAATTTTTTCTGAAAAAAAGATTATGAATTCGATAGAATTTCTTGTAAAGGTTTTAACAGTTACAAATCTCTCCATAATGATGCAGTGTATTTCAGAAAACATTGACAACCGAACTCAGGCAGATGTGATTTATACGTTACATATTTTCAATTGTTAATAATTTTTATAACGTAAAACGCAAATGAATAAGAATTTAGCCATTATAGCGATCGACCCAACATTTTGCAGTGGGCTCCTAAAATACTAGTTATTCTTGGCCAATACAATGTTCTTATCGCTAAACGAGGAGATCCCGTTGCACACCCACTCCCTCCCCAATTTGTATATTCTTTTTGAACCGGATTTTATTACACTTTTCCAGATTTTCGAGAGTAGTTAAGCATATCTATTTTATATCTAAATGTTATAATCATAGCACCCCGGCGGTTAAATTACATTTATTTAATTTTAAAATAGTAACAAAAAAAGGATAATACAAACAAATACCCCCTAATTTACCCAACCCTGCGCTCATCGAAGTCTTGAAAGAGATCCCGTTGCACACCCACTCCCTCCCCCATTTGTATATCCTTTTTAAACCGGATTTTATTACACATATAGTTACTCGCGTATCGGTCAACACTAATGATTTGTAATTGCTGTGGTTGGAGGTGTTTGTGTGAATGCCTCTTCTTTGTTTTCATTTAACTTAAACCTAAAAAAAGTCCACTCGAGCATATAAAATACCTAATATGTAGGTGGAAAAAATCACTGCATAGATTTTAGATTTTACCTAATATCTTCTTTTAAAATAAATTACAGAAAATGGACTTTTATTTCGAAAACTAAATTTAATATAGTAAAAGTAGGAATCATGACACTAAGGCCCGTATTTATAAACAAAACTCAACTGAGTCGGACTTGGGTAAGTCGTCCTTGAACTAAAATCGAAGTTCGGTTACAACGTCTCTAAAGTTCTAGGTGGTTCCGGTGTTATACTGGAATTTAGAGATGGATATTAGCAAATTTGTAACTGTTAAATACATTTACGGATTTGTTACTACCCATCTCTAAATTCACGCGATATAACCGAACTTCGATTTTCGTTCAAGGACGACTTACCCAAGTCCTACTCAAGTAAGTTCTGTTTATAAATATGGGCCTAAGTACTAAATAACAAAAATGTATAAAAAATATATTGCATATAAAATATAGGCAGAATATTATTCTAAATAACTTTAACCTAAAACTAAATTGCACCCCGTTCTCAGTTTCTTTGGGAATTTCTTTGGCTTTTATTTCCTTTCTTAGTTTATGTAACGAAGGAAGTCTACGGTTTTGATGCTCAATTTTTTAATTATGTGGATCTGAGCATGAAGAGATTAATTTAAATGGTGTATCTACTGTATTCGATGATTTAATTATAGCATGAAAGCCTCTTGTTACTGTAGAAACATTTTTCCTGACGTATAAGATTACTTTAGAACTCGTACCATTTAAAACTACTAACTTTTTAAGATTATCAAGTTCCTGATGTACATTTTCTGTTGCCAATTCTAAATTTTTTACTTCTGCTAGACCCTGAAGATGACCAGATATAGTATTATGTTCCAAATCACTTGCATTGTTGTTGATGTCTCCACTGGACAGTAGCTGTAGGTTTTCATCGATAGTGCGCGTTCGAGGATATTTTAGGCAAATTATGTATATATGTTTGCACATATTATACTGAATTGCAAAGTCATGGCAAGTACAAGAATATGTATGCAAACATGATTTGCAATAATTGCAAAAAAATACACAATAAAATTTTTCTTTATTTTCTAGTTTTACTTCATAGTATTCCAATAGAGTTTTGTTTGATTTGTTTTTAAATAAAGAAATAAACCACTTTAAATTCGGGACTTCTTCAACTATATCAAAATCATTTAGAAATGCTTCTGCTAATTTATGTCTCCAAAGCAATTCACTTAACTTAAAAGACACTATTACGTGAAATAGATACAAGTCTCTTTAAAAACTTCATTCGAAGGCATTCCATAACATTGTTGATGCCAACCCCAGTATATATACCAATCAGTATTGGCACTCTGAGGCGGCACGTTTGATCTTTAAAAGTAGAAATTTTAGTTGACACTTGACGTTTTCGGGATATGAAAAGTTTTCTTTACACGGACTTGGTATACCTGGTTAGTTGAATTTTTGTTCTGCTGCTTTTCAAATTCGTGTGTATGAGGGAGATGTGAGATACCTTTATAGACAACGGTTGAACAACTTAATTACTTTAAAGAAGAAAATAGATTAGATATCAGGGCAGTCTTCGCAAATGTAGTTCAAAGTATAACGTTAGTTTGTCAAGGGAAATATATAACACACAAGGTTAGAGTAACAGAATAGAGGTATTGCTTTATTTCTTAATCTAAAACTTTTCTAGTATATTGTAAAAATTTATTCTATACGTTATTTAGGTACTGCAAAATCTATAGGAAAGTATGTAGTTTTAAATTTAAAAATTTGTAACGGAGACATATTTAGTGTATTTTTTTTACAAATATATACTACTTGTTTTTGTGAACGAGTTCAAGTATGGCAGACTAAAATCGTTATTTTTAATTATGAATTAATTTCAATTTATTTTAAAATGGGAACTATATGTATATGGTTTTCGTAGTTTTTACACTTGTGATAAAAATATCAAAGTTATGTATATTGGCCATTTACTACACACAGCAAATTCATAGACACAATACATATTACATTTGACATTCTTGTAAAACCACTAATTTAAAATTGACTTTAAACTAAGTGACTACACACAATTGTTTGAAAGCAGCCATAAGGCATAATTTATTTATTGGATACTATAAAAAATTAATAGTAGTACACGTAGAGTTAAGTAACAAGAAATTTAAGACCAAAAACAAAACAAACCTTTATATCTAGTAAACTTAATTTAGTACAGTCCTCAACTTTCTTAGGCTAACATTAAAGATATCTATTTGGAACTCGCTAAGAAACTCATTGGTAACAGCCATCATCTTGTTAAAAGGAGATATACTACTTGGATCTAAATCAAATAATTTTTTGTTACTTGGGTTTCTTAGATTAATCTTTGCGGCATTAACATTTACATAGTCAATCAATTCACAATCTTTTTACTTAAAATAGAGTACAAAATATATCACAGCCTGTTGCTTTCTTCTTTGTAAAAGAGATTTAATCTTAAAACTATTGAGCATAGTTTTATACGAGATCTTAGGTATAAGGGTACAAGTATTTTTTATGACATAAACGTACCGTAAAAATATTTTTTGTACTTTTTCAATATGATCAATTTGTGTGGCTTCCAAGGGCATCCATATTTGTGAAACATACTGTGGTGCTCGCGTCCTGTTTGACGAGCCCACAAAGAACTTAACAGATTTGTTTATGACATTTTAGTTGTTTTTTCATGTTTGACGTTTTATGTCATTATTTTTACTTTTTGGTTATATGCAATGTTTTGGAGTGACAACCATCTGGTCTCTTCTTTTTTAATAACGTCACCGTTGTTAATTAAGATATGTGTTTTCTTTTGTAAACCTTTACAGGATTTTCTGGATGAAAAGAAGACTCAAGTAGGCGGATTTGGAACGCAGTATAAAAGGACCGCCGTTGCTATGCTGTAGAGAGATCATTATAAACATTTCATCGATCGGTTTAATTTTTATATATTTCGAAAGTGTCTATTCTTTTTATATATATGTATTAAATAAAATTTTTAAAAAATTATTTTTTTTAGTTTTAAATTTAGTG